AGTCTAGCAACGGAGTGGGTTGAGAAGTTAGTTTAGAGAATAATTGAGGAAGGGAATCAGCAATTCTATTCACGGGAGTTCAAATCCAGCAAGGGGGAAAGTGTAGTGCATGGGCACTACATTGCTCAACAGTCACAGTGACGTACAGGGAACGTCGTTTAGAAAATAGAGGTCTTAGGATTCCGCAAATGAGGCATAATTAGAACTTAGTAATTTTAATAGGGATATGATAGTAATATGGGATAGTTGTCTAATGCCAGGCCGATGTCAAACTACCGTCGCACCCGGTTAGGGTTGGCCGACCTGCTCGCACTGGCGAGGGAAACAGATACTGTAGAGAGAGACGATTTTGGAGGGAACTTCCCTTCGGAAGTTCCGTAATTTGGGGATTTTCCTTGAAACCAACATCTACTTCACGTTATTCTGGTAATTTCTGTGTAGATCTACTGACATTGAGTTCAAGTGGGTATCGTAGGCACAGTATACGGCCACTGTGCATTACACTCCCACTGCGCTTCTGCGGCGGCCCCGTAAACCCTAAACCCTAAACAGTAAACCCTAAACCCTCATTGAAATTCTGAATTGTTTTGAAATTGAATTTAGTAGTGATATATTTGCTGCTACATTTGGGGTGTACAGACACTGCAGCCAGGGGGGGGCCCAGGACCCTGCTGCGCTGCTAGCAGCAGCAGCTGCAGCAGCAGCAGCAGCAGCAGCGATGCGTTGGCAGCAGCAAAAGCGAAAACCCGCGCTGCTGCTGCTGCTGCTGTTGCTGCTGCTGCTCTGCTCAGTGCAGCATCTGTGGGGCCTCTCTACACACCGCCGCTGCGGCGTATTTGCGGCATTTGGCTTGCAGCAGCAGCAACATCAACAGCAGCAACAGCAGCAGCAGCAGCAACAACAGCAGCAGCAACAGCAGCAGCGGCTGTCTGCTCTGTATTTTGTGAGGCATTTGAAGCCTCATCAATTCTCTTGCTGCTGCAATGCTGTACGTACACCCCAACTCTCGCCAGCAGCAAATGCAGCGTTAAAGGAGCGAACACCTGCTGCTGCTGCTGCTGCTGCCGCTGCTGCTGCTGCTGCTGCTGCTGCTGCTTTTGTTGCTGTTCCTGCTGCTTCTGCTGCTGCTGCTGCATCTGGGGTCCACCGTGTCACTGGAAGAAACCCTTTAGCAGCAGCAGCAGACGCTTCGGCAGCAGCAGCAGCACCAGATGAGAGGGCAGCAGCAGCAGCATATGGGGCAGGTCGAGCAGCACAACATGAGGCGACAGCAGCAGCAGCAGCAGCAGCGTCAGCAGCAGACGAAACAGCAGCAGCAGCAGACGAAGCAGCAGCAGCAGCAGACGGCGCAGCAGCAG